CAGTAACATATTTTTTAAGATTTCACGTTTTACTCTTAGTTTTGGTCTCACAAGAAGCCATGGAGGAAAGCACAGAAATTATAGGTGTGTACTTTTTCAATAAGTACTATCAGGAGTGTGACAGTATTTCTGCCCAGACTTTGCAGACGCAATCACTTTTCAGGTACAAAGCATCCAGTTTTAAAAACACAGCAAAACTAACACCTACACAGACTTGTGTTGTTGCAGCTAACATACATATTGGAATATATAATTTAACTCTGTGCTTTAAGAATGCTCTTTCCCAAATAATTTTTAATGAATATTGCTAATCTTCAGCAAATAAGAAAGCTTACTGTGCTGTTTGTGGTTTTCACTGCTGCGTGACACCGCTCTGTTTCATTTAATAACCTACAATCTCTCAACACTTAGCAATATACCTTGTGTAAACTACACACCATAGTTGTTCTGAAGCATCACTCTTGGTTTTTCTGCCTACACTCCCGCTGCCCGGGTGATGTATAAAACAAATACCTCTTCCTGCTGGTGCAGTTGCCACTTTTCATCTCTAGTACAATATCCACCTAATCAGACAGTGCCTCTAAATGCAACTTAAAAAAGCAGGTTATAATTTCATTAAAGATGTATTTACTGAGCTAAAACAGCTGTTCTGGGCTGGAATGCAAAAAAAAGGCCTATGTGATTGCTACTCAGTCATTTTTAAGGCAACTGAAAAATACATTTGCTGAGCTAACCTCACTCTCCTGAAGAGCTGGCACTGCTGGCTTCTTCTGTATAAAAGGTTTAAACAGTTATTATAGTGTGTCATAAATTTTGACTTGTAATTGAAAATCTCTTCACTTCCTACAAAAAAAAAAAAAGTCCTTATTACTTGCTATGTAATTACAGACCATGCAGCTGCTCTCTTCGGCTTCACTAGAAAATTTGAAGAAATGAAACACTGTGAAAACCTTATTCAAATGTTATTAAATTGCTAGTCATAGATATGCCACTCTCATACTGGAGGGTCTCAAATAATATCACTTTCTTCCTGTTACCAGGACTAAAAAGTAGATGAATCAGAAGTGGATCCAGGCCATATTGAGTTTCCCACCACAGAGGAGACCACCAGGTCTTTAGCAGGAAAGTATAATCTATTTCTGCCAAGAAGACATCAAAGGAAAAGATACCTGAGCATGTATCTGGAAAGAGACTTCAATGCATAAAGACAATTTTTATTTCATTTTCAATAGGTCCTAATAATTATGCATGGCCACAACTGTCTAAGTCACTTCAGTACAATCTTTGTGCCATTTCCTTGTGTCATTTATAATGAAAAGAAACTATTCATGAAATAGTGAACCTCATATTTCAGCCAAAGGCATGGGATTGGTGACCCCACAATATCCTGTTCACCTCCAGTGGTTTGACATGAGTCATACTTGATTAACTATTCTCTAGCCTTTGTGTACTGCAGAGGCTACGGTGTGATGCTGAATTTTTAGAGCAATTAAAATAAAATATACACCATGCGCCCCTACCTTTGATTTACAATGCATTTCAGTCTTGGGTCACTGATTTGAAATGGGTAGCTTCTGGAAAAAGGCTTTACATACCCCTGACTTCACTTTGCATTTTGTTTCTCCCTGTTGGTGCTGTTTCAACATTTAAACCAGCAAGTTATTAATTTGCTGGGATCAGTTTGGGCTCTAACAAGCATTTTAAAGACTGAAGATTACAATTAATTCATTATCACAATGTAAAAGAACTATGAAAATGGTCATCATACATAAATCACAACACTGTTTCCATCTAGTATTTACTGTTTTCTTAATTCCTGTCCAGCCATATGCAGAAGAGCTCCAGGATGCATATCACAGTCTGAAATCTCAAGTCAGGTCTACAGGATGTTGGACAAGTAACTTCCTGTGACTGCCAGTGAGATCAATGTTTCCTTGGCATTTTGAAAAATTCCACTCAAAGAACCATTTTAAGGTTTTAAATTCAAAATACAGACTACCATAGTTGGTTTAGATCATCAATTCAAAGCAGTTAAAATTTGGAATGAAGTTTTGCACCTTCAGATGAAACTAACTGTTCTAAGTTTTAAAGTATGGTTATTCATACAGTTCTGGTTAATTACACAGACTTTTCAACAAATGGCCAAATTAATTTTTTATAAACAGTGATGCTTTCAAACATAATAATTTCTTCTAATCCAGCTGCAACTGGAGATGCTGTTGTTCATCAGGGACCTTTATAATTAAAACTCCAACAGTCTGAAATTATTTTCCAATTATTACTCAACACACAAATTGGTGCAGCAATACTATTTATACTTGTCACCAGAAAATACTGTGATTGCTTTCGCACATGTCACTAAGAAAAAACCAAAAGTAAGCAAGGTGGAAAAACAGAGAAGGAGTTCTAAAAGAATAGGGATCCATTATTACTGATTCTGGCATTCACCAGGAGCAAATTACAGAAACAAAATGCAAAAATTCAGTTTGTCCCACTTTGCTGCCACTGAACTAGACACTTTTGGAAGTCGAACTAACAACAGATACATTTAAAAATTTGCAGTAATTGTTGAAACAGGTACCTACTATAATTGTCTTGTAATCTAGGGATGAAGCCAAAAGGAAATTATTGAAAAAATTAAAACCGACAGATGTGCAAAGAACGTTGTTAGCTGTAGAAACAGGAAATTGATATTGAAAGTTATAAGACAAATAGTTGCACAGATCTGCTCAGAAAGAGTGTTTATGCATGTAGGAAGAATAACAAAGGGAATTCCTTGAGGGCTTTATATTTCACTGTAGATGCTGAAATACTTAAAATACAGGGGCTCAAAAGCTGGAAGCTAATTTCTCTTTTACCTCAAAAAAAACCCCAAAAAACCCACCTCCCACTGCAGCAAGGAGGAAAAACTTCGACATTCTCTTCTTAATTTATAAAATTGCTGTATTATAATTTTCTCATCCATCTATCTATTCCTTCAGACTACACTTGAGCAAATTTCTTTGTTGGCTTCAAAAAATCCAAAAAGCCCCCACCAACAGCTTTTGTTTTAGATGTTCCAAGTTAATCTTCCTTGATGAAGCATCACGCAGTGGATATTTCCTATTTGGAAATATCCACTCTTTGGAGAGCGAAGACTCTGCTCACATGTTCTGCTGTACATGTGAAACATTTTAGAAAAGAAAACATACAGTGCTGTCCATCAGAGGTGTTTGCTTCTGAAGTGCAGATGTCAGATTCTACTGGATGACCACAATCCACGTGGCTCAGGTGGTGGTCACCTGATGCGTGGGCAGGAGCTGTGTTGGTCCTCTGTCCCCCAAGGTGGTCTCCAGGGTGAGGTTCTGCAACCTTGCCCCTTCCTTACCCACCCCTCTGATGTTCTGGGAAACAGATATAGATGGAGACATACCCTCACTTTCTGTTTTAAGATGCCAAAACACAATTAATGAAATGTTAAACAGCAGTGTGAAAATACTGCAAAACACTGGGAGCAGTTTTGGAGCCTGAAGTTGATTATTATCAGAATGTATCCCATGAACCTTCTCTCCTTTTAGTTAAAAGCCCAGTGAAAACTCTTCCTCTGCTTCCTGCTAAATTTCTTCTTCCTTAGAAGTACATCATGAATGAAGAGGAAAAATCACCTCAAAGTACACAGTACTATGTTTTTCACAGTAAGATAAAAAACAAAAAGAAGTAACAGAGACATTAAAAAAGAAACTATTAAAAATGTAACCTAACCAAAGACACTATTGGCTCTTCATCTCTTACTACTGCTTATGAGACCAAGAAGTAGACACAATTTAAAACAACAGAAGTAGCACAACAGCAAGAATAAATCACAGAAGCACAATGTATTTACTGTGCACTACTCTAAAGTGCATGGTTAAATAGCAAGCAAACAGAAAAATCCATCCTAACATCCAAAGTCTTCTCTTCAAAATAATATTTTGTGTATTACATGCATACACATCTGCCAGTATAATTAGCAAAACAGCTAAGTCACTATTTAATTTGTTTAAGCTCCAAGAAAATTAATTTTTTTAAGTATTTATATATATATACAAATACCTATCTTACTTATGTAGGAAAGTTTTTTCTAGATTATGTATTCCATTAGTATATTCTATTGATAGAAAAGATCAATTATGGTGGGGGAAAAAAAGCTGGTGTTATTCAGATCTGCTGTTGAAATTAGAAGTCACAAAGCCAAGAAGGATTTGTTGGGTTATGGAGACCTGGGTTTTAATTCCTGTTCCCAGACCGATTTCTGTGTTAATATTTTTTAATGTAACAATGATTCAGCATCAAAACAAGGAAGAGTTCCAGAAAATGAGGACCAAACATTGTTCTGTTAGCTGAAAGGAGCCAAACTAATTTAATACTCTTTTGCAGGAGAGTCTCTCTGCCCCTGCTCACTCTGGAATTTTCTCCATGTTTGTTCCAGAATACACGAGTCTTTCTTAAACACAAGGGGCCTGTTCCAGATTTCAGCTTTGCTTTATGCTTGTGTTAGTCTGGCTTTTTTTTCCTCAAGAGGAAGGTTTCTCTCCAAGACTTAATAGAAGTGAACCAAGGAGCCAGCAAAGCCCACCTCAGTGCTGTGCTTCTAATCCATTCTGCTAGTGCAACAGAGCAACTCTCCTGCCAAGTTGTCTCCCTCTTGGTATCAGCACATTATTCTGAAGGTTACTCTCACTAATACATTCCTAAAACATCTTTACTGTCTCCAATAAATTCAGTGAATACCCATGTGTTCACAACACCTACAAATCATTTTTCTTCCTTCCGCAGGAATCCATTACCCGGACAACTCACCCAGACTGGGTGTCCCTGCTCAGCTGGCTCTGGAACAAGTTTTGTAGTGCCAAAGACCAGTCATAAGGGAAATAAATCTCGGAAACAATGTCAGACAACAAGCTGTAAGTAGTAGGGATGGATTCCAGCATTATTCAACAACTGAAATTTGAAAGTGTGGGGAACGTGAACGTTGCTCTCACCTTCCTCTCGGTAAATCCGCATCATCTTTCTTCCACCGGACTGTGGGTGTGGGATCCCCCTGCACCTGGCACCGGAAATCCACGGCCTCCTCCTCCAGCACCACTTGGTTTATCGGTCGCCTGAGAAACGTGGGCCGCTCTTGAAAGAGACATTAAAATTCCTTGGTGAGTCAGAGGGTTGAAATGAACATTTTTTGACTTTTCAGCATCTTTTTGTTTACCCATCCACCACACAGAAAGGAGGCTGAGCTCCACAAATTCAGACAAGTGGAACTGATGATGTGCATAAAGAGCCAGGAAGAGGGCTGCCAGGCTGGAGAGGCAGGGGCTGTCGCATCTGGCCCTCAAGGAAGAGTGGAGTGCCACCAGAAGGCAGCCTGTGCCAGGACCGACTGCCCACCTGCCCTGCTGGACAGCACACAGGCCTCTGAGCCCATACCCTTCCCTAGGAATGCTGTGGCTCTGCACTGCTGCACACACAAAGCCTGATCTGAGAGCTCCTGCCCGCTCTAGCAATATATGAGCTGCCAATGGAGTCAGCCTGCCTTTGGCAACAATCAATACCTTGATGCTTCAGAGGAAAATTTAAACTCGGTGTTAGGCGTCTCAGGCAATTGCGGAGTGTCGGGCAGAGGACAGAGCTTCCCTTCGCCGACTTCACCATGGAAAACCAAATTAAGGTCTGAATAACAACTTCTGTTTACCCTCGTTATTTTAGCCTGCACGGCTACAAATATTATTAATCACCCTAATGTTGCACAGGCCTGCTTAAAATCCAGATGCAGAGCCACAATCTGCTCTCAGTGGTCCTGGTGCAGTACCCTGTATACAGACACTGGTACAAACTCCAAGTACCGGTAATTTCATTTGAAAGGATGTCACTGGGGTGAGTTTCCAAGTTGCCTTTGGATTGCATAAATTTTGTTCTGTCCTCTCAACCATACCACACTTTTATTGTCATAAATTATTTATGCTAGTCAAACCATTATAAGACTGGGTTTATATGAAGCAGTATTTCCACTCAAGACAGGGATTTATCATAAAGACGTTTAAAACTGGTTACACGCTATGTTTCACATTTCATTCTCAGCAAGTTGAAGGGTATGATGTCACTTAAAAGAATTACTCAAAATTCACATGGATGCAAGCAATACCAGATTCTGACTCGGGCAGTTTGTCTTGATAACTACAGAGCTGAGTTTATAGGTTGGTTATACATGTTCGTTATATGCAAATAATAATAAAAATAAAAACCATTAAAGAGCGTTAATAAGGTTGCAAAATCAAGCAGGCAGCACCTCACTGCCAGAACTAAGGCTGCCTGCGTGCCTGTTAATCACTTCCTTTCTGTTCATGCCTTATGGGACTGGTTGCAATTATATGATAACACATCATTTTTTCCCCAAACATCTCCAGATTGTTGGTGTTCATTTAATGAGCAGGTGTTTAATATTTTGCTTTAGTTGTACTGTTTAGTGGGTGGCCTCCTGTCATACTAATCAAACTTCACTTCAAAGGCAGAATTATTAATTTCCTCATGACCTCTATTACACATATCTTAAAGCTTCATGAGCAACTCACTTATTTTCGTAACTCCTCTCCAAGGTGTGATGGAGATCTTAGAAAGCAAGACAAAAAATATCTGCTAAATTTTTATGCCCAACCTGAGCCACAAAACTGGCAATTTTTGAGGGGTGGGGAGAATTAAACACCAATTTTGTGTGTTCAAAGCTCAGCTTCCATCTAATTCAGTTGCAGACAAAAAAAAATGTTCACCCCTTTTATAAATCAGAATATCAAGTCAGAAAATTAAGGAACACAAAACCACCTGTTAGTAATTATGCAAATGAGTGACAGCATCAGATAGGAATTCCATGATAGTAGCAGGGGGACCTATTGGTAGGGGAAAACGTATTTTGTCAGCAGAAGAATAGACATGCTCAAGAATCCATAGCACTTTTCCAGATGATAGAGATAAAAATATGTCTAACGGGCAGAGATTCTTCTCCCCAAGCCATTGCTTTTGTCCTATTCCTGTTCCTGCCCAGGACCTACAGGTTTTAGCAATGTTTGGGCAAGTAAATTCAGTTCTAGTCTCTTTCCACACATTGAAATCTTTAGTATTCCACATTTCAAGTCTGTGTACAAGCCATATCCAGCTGCTGACTGCTTCCTTAGCCAATTTGTCTCATCTTAGCCCAGAAATATTGTATTGGACCTGCAGTTCTCAGGACAGAAAGCTTCCTCCATTCCTCTCCTTCAAACCTTTGCCTATTTCTCTCCAATTATTCCTTTTACTCAAAACTGCAAGAACTTCAACATTTTTAGAGAGGAATGAATTATTCTGGCAATTTAAAAAATAAATAAATTAAAATCAGTTTTCTAATCAGGCACAGAATATTTTGGATAAAGCCTTTTTTAGTTTGACAAACTTATTAAAACTGGACAAGGTAAAAAACCCTATTATTTCTTAACGTTAGTGCCAAGCAATGCACTTGGCCCACCTGCAACTATGTGAATCTAGATGGGAATTTCTTTATGAAACTTTCTGCAGGTTAGCAACAGCATCTTATTCACAGCTGCTCTCCTAAGAAGATTCAGACCAAACCCTGCTCTGAGCTCATACATAATACATTCTTCATTTTGGTATTTGTTTTTCAAAGATGATCCTAAACTAAGAAATTTAGATCCAGATTGACATTTTAATTGGTGATTTGGAGGTCCTTGGTATACCCACACTGAATTTAAATAACTGTGTGTACCTGCATAATGGCTTGGTCTGCACACAAAAATTATTTTAGACCACGTTTATAACAGCTGTATGTAAACAGCTAAGAAATTAGTGTGTGCATATTGATGAAATTGTTACTTGTGGCTGTAAATTCTTCTCCACAGGAGATGAAGAAATAAATCCCTGTCGCATGTTGAGGAGAACCCAGAAAGTAAATGGCCCAAAGGTCATTAGCTAAATCACTGGATTCCACATCTAGGCAATTTAGGAGCATACACCCACACGTTTATTTCAGATCAGCTTCTTAAACTGTGTATTTTCAAAAAAATTTAAGAAGTTTCTAGAAAATAAATAGCTATGAAAGGTCAGATTCCAGTTAGCGAGGACATGCAGATACCATTAACTGCTGGTTCCATTTTTCCGTCATCTCTGCATTTTGCACAGCGGGAATCAGGAAAGAACAAGTTACCTCTCATGTTGTTTCCTGTATTTATATCACTCAGAAAACCCCTTGAATGTGTCCAATAGCTAATTATACAGCTATAAAGTGATCAGAGCGAATGCCATTGCCAATGCAATTAACATTCTTTATATGAGATTAACTGGATTTGAGTCACCTGCATAACTTGCTTACAATGTTAATCTCTCAGGAGACAGAGCGCTGCCTGCCCAAGCATGCTAAATAAAGAAGGTTTCTTCACACAGCCAGGTCAAATTTAGTTTAAGAGCTAATCTTGACAAAAAAATCTTTTTTTTATTTTTTTTTTCCTTCTGAAATGGTTTGCCCATAAATAAAGCCTTGTGGTATCATTAAACATTGTTATTCTGTCAACAGCATCCAGAACACAATATATTTGAGAAACAACAAGAAAGGGTGATAAATTAAAATCACAGACATATATAAAAATTTTAATATAGCTATTTTATAAGCTTTCACTGAGTAAATAAAGTACCTACTTCCCAGACTTTCTCTGATGAATATTAAAAATCTTTGAAGAGAACTATAAAATAGGTCATGGTTATATGTCATGTCAACCAGTCACACTATTACTAAGGTGACCTTTATAACTTCAGAATAAACTTTGCTTGCAGTTATAAAAGGGGGTTGTTAATGCAATCTGGACACACATCTAACAATCTGTTGCAGAGCTCGAGATATGCACTGCAAGGAAACCTACAGATCCTAACCAGAAAGAGGAAAATGCTTTCCTTGCTTTGGGTGCTGACACAAGTTAACCTCAGAACTCAATTTTTCCCATATTTAACAATTGGTCTGAGTATCACAGTCTATTAGAGAAGCTCAGATGACCTTCAGATGTATTATTGCCCTTTCTCTGTTCCTCAAAAAGTTAGACAGCCATACATGGGGCCTCAATCTAATTAAAATGATCCTAACTACCTTAATATATTTTCTCTGCTGAGGCAACTGCTAGAGTGAAGGATTTGATGGTCCCCATAATGCAGAGCCTCAATTTGATTTGGAATTGTTTTCTCTGTGTTTGCTGGAGAGAAGACATAATTTTTTTAAAATGTTTTTGTGTTCTAGAAAGAGTATTAAAGTAAAAATTAAAAGGCTTTGGGGAGGGATTTAATAGCAAATGTTAAAAATAAAAGCTTTTTTCCCTTTAGCATTTTGATGCAAAAAGAAAAAAAAAAGGAAACATTAGATGGTTGGAAGTAAATCTCACTTCAGAATGCTGTCAATAGCATAGATATTTTATTAAATACAATGTAATCTGGATGAAGTAAAGCTCTCTGCCAAAAAAGAAGACATGGAATAAGACAGGATATTACGATCTGACTAAATTTACCTATGTTGGCCAAATAAATGAAAATACAATTGCAAAAGCAGATGGCTTTATATTTAAAGACATTATTCTACTGCCTCTTTTTAGGCACTTTTCTATTTTTCATTTAGAAATAACCACCTTCTGCTCCCTAAGCAGCACCCAAGGTGAGACAAACTTGCCCAGTAAAGGCATGGAGCACCGACAAGAGGCACATGCATATGCAGTAAAATTATTTTTATCCATTGCTAGTAGTTTTCTCCTTTTATATGTGTCTACAACCATGTTCATTTCAGTCTTTACTGACCATTCCATGCAGACCTTGGAGACCAAATCAGACCCTTTTTCACAGCAGTATCATTATCCTATTACAGCTCCTCTGTATCTGTGAATAACAAATATTGTAAAGACAAACTGGTTTTTTGCAAATTGCCACAAGTAAACTGCAAGTGGGAAATACAAGTATTGGAAGAAAACCTAGAAAAGCTTTCATCTGAAGGACAAAACACACACTGCTGATTTCCCTGTCTCGATGTGTGAATGTATGTACCTGGTTTTGGTAGATTTTTCCCTGTGACTGGGAAAGCTTTTGGGACTAATTTCCAAGATACAATGGGGCAAGACTCTCTGCTAAGGCCTTCCACATAAGCAGAGTTCAAGAAAGCAAAATGGGGCACAGTGTCTTCATTAAAGGATTTTTGGATTTCTTTCCTCTAACGCCATGTCATCACAGAATACTCTTCCTGAAACTACGGCTTCTCTTTCAGCCTGACAATATCTACAGAACATCAAACACAAATACTTCTTCAAGCATCAGACAAAAGTACCTCTTCATCCCACAGGACCTTATTAGCTGAAAAAAGGGTCAGCTACCAAAGTTAAAATCAAAGATTAATCCAAAACAATCTTTATTATGTCCAAATTGACATATCTTTTAAAGACGTTTTTGTACTCTTCTTAGTTATGCTTTATATTCTTTTGAGGCTCTTCTAAATATATCTTCTTCCACTGCTTGATGCCAGCCTCTTGAAGTTGATATACTAAGGCTTTCATTGATTTCACTGAGCTTTAGAATCAATATACAAGATATACCTTTGTACATGCACTTCAAACATATCATTTTAAGTCCAAAGGAAAAAAAAAAAGAAGAGTCTGAAACAGCTAAAACAACTTGAAAACTTATCTCAGAACACGGCAATAGCATGACAAAATGATAAAGGTTATCTCAAAGAGTAATTCTCACTTTATTTAATTTCTGGCTCCATATTATGTATTTACAAACAAAGCTTTCTTACAAATTGGAATTAAACTGGTTCTGTTTTGCATCTCGCTTTAATTCTGTTCAGCCAAAGGCTATGAGACCAAACACAAGCAAAGCAACCTAATTTGTATCACTTACGCTTCTGAAATTGGCCTTTAGAATAATAAAGTCCCACGCTGCCTCTTTTTGTGAGCATTAGGATTGATGTCATTAACTTCCTTTACAGGACAACTCCGTCACAGCCCCTGTCTTCTTGCTTTCCCCCAAGATTGCACCTTGGAGCCTCATAAAGGCAAAAACTAGCAATAATGCTTGAAAGAAAAGACTAACAAAATGTAGTGCATCATCGTGACTGTTCAAAACACAGGAATAATTCTGGGGAGCACTGCTTATATGCTCAGTTTGCTTTATGGTATTTTGCTATGAACGTTTGACAGTTTTCTGCTAGTGGAAGAATCCTGACTTGGGAGTAAAAGAAATGCAATCTGCATCGACACTACCAGCATACAGTTAGAAGTGCCTGAATGTTGAAAACAAGGTTTCAAGCAGACAAGCTTGGAAAAAAAAAAAAACAAACACAAAACATCAGTTGTTTTGTGAAAGTTCTACATGTATTATTCACAACTATCTCTCAGCAAGGGTTATTGAATGGATACCCAGCCAAGTGGATATATTCTGCCCATGGGAAACTTTTATTTTCTCCCCCTACTTCTTTCCAAGGTTCTTATTGTCCATTTTATTTTATTGTTTCTAAACTCAAGAAAGGTGTAATATTTTAGGTTAGGCTTCCCTGCTGTTCCCCTCAGGCCACCAGTTCCCACCACACCAAGTCACTTTTTCCAGAGGCAACGCCTCCAGCTAAATTTTCTGTACAGGGAGCCAGAGAGCTGTCACGAGCCACACACAGAAGTGAACTTCAGGTATTACAGAAAAACTTGCAAAGCCAAAAGTAATAAGTGGCTGGTTCCCGGAGAGGTTTGAGAACTAGTATGAAACAGTTCCTTTTCCTACATAGTGTAGTTTACTAAGGCCACCTTCACTCTAGGAAAAGGGTTTTGAGGGTTGCTATTTGGGAAAGGAGGAATGAATAATCAGCTAATTAATATGCATTCCTCTCCAGAATCATCACCAGTTCTAGGCTTGCCAGTCACCTAATTAAATTCTCTAAGTCTCTTAGCTAAGATCTTTTTATTTTTGTTATGAAGTTCATTTTCAAATAGCTGCGAAAGAGTTAAAGTTGGACACATCAATTGCTTATAAGTATTATGCTATTTTTAGCTTATTTTTCCTCAAAATTTGCCCTATTCCCATGTTCCTCAAACCTCTGAGTCATGTTAGAAGGCAGCTTTGGACTTAACATATGATCCCTGGTCTTGCCTGTGCTCACTGAAGCCAATTTGAACATGCACAGCCGACCTGACGTTTCCCAGTCTCTGGATTTGTTTCCCAGTCTCTGGATTTATTCCCCTTCTATCCCCAGATAGAAGGGGAATTTTAGATAGGAAGATACTGAGATAGAGTATTTTAAATATAATTTTCTTTTGGTAGTCTAACACGATGATGTAGCACTAAAATATCTAATCTCACTTATTGCTGATTTTGTTCAGTATTCACCAAATAATTTTAGACTGTATTTTTGCAAGTTGATTGTTATGACTATATGCTGTAAAAAAAATCAGAATATTGCAATTGGCTATGTATTCTTATACATACCAAGATAAACCTAATATTTTTCATAGCCTGGCAGGATACAAAATTACATGCACATTTCAGTTTTCATTCCTACAGTTCAATGCTTTTTAACAAATTATTTTCTTAAGGATTTCTTAGGGCTTTGTAGTTTAGGACTGCAATTTGCTTGCTATCCACAGGGAGTATTACCAGAGATTAGCAGTACTTAAACTGATGAAGGAGATATGTCATGTCTTTTTCACATTTGTGTAAAGGCACAACTTCAACAGATTGGCTGCAAAGGACATAATAATTTGATAGAGATCCTTTCTCTGCTTTTTTTGCAATGTATAATAGTTCTGCCTTTAAAAGTTGTATGTTTCCATGAATCCACAACAAACTAAGTGAAGTGGAAGCCTTTACAGTCTTATAATGCTGGAAAGCAGGAAATATTCAGTCATGTGTCCAGTAGAATTTGCTCAGATCTTGTCTAGTAGAAACTTTTCTTTTGTGAATCTCATAATATGTTTGAGGGTTTTTTAAAGTGGACAAACTAATGCTGAATTGCACATGCATGCAAACACGGAGATGGCAATATGACTGGGTTTTCCAGTGCACCATATTAGATAGATGGTGGAAAAAAATTAGGAGCATCTGCCTCAGAAAGGACCTTAGGATTTCTGTTAAAAGTCTTACTGGAATTACAAACAGGCTTGTTTGGAATTTCAATATTGTATATTAAGGATATCAAAGAGCTGTAGCAGGAGGGAACATTAACACTATTTCTCTTTTGCTGGCATATATGTGTTTTCTTTAGCAGTGAGGGTTCTTTCCTTACTGATTTTCCTTTGTTTGCTCAGAATCTCTTGACTAATTCCTACAAAACCATGCCTATAGGATGTACTACAGCATGATTTTGTGGTTTTGCTCCTTGTCCAGTTGTTAGCAGGATGGATCCAGCTCTAGATTCAGTTATTACTCTGTTTTTGTTCTGGACTCTAACCATGGAGGGAATGTTACCTGACAACTTCTTGCCTTACCTATCAGGTCTAGAAGCTCTTTCACACAGGAAACATATTAATTTTTGATTCATTCAGCAGCACCTGGCTTACAGGATGAAAAGCTGTTTCATGACCTCTAAAAAACAAATTAAAAAAGTATATCTCTATGTACAGAAAATTGATTTCATAATTTTCTCCAAAGATGTTTTACTGATCAACTAAGCTCTTTCGTGCTTTCCTACAGAGGTTTGATTTCACAACCCCACAGGAACATGGAATTGTTTAAATAGGCAATGTTAGTCCAAATCTCTGGTAAGCAGGCATCATCAACCGTATTAGAAGTAGCTTAATTACTTTTGGCAATTTTGTGAGGGAGAGGGCACTGTGCTTAGAAGGAAAATCTTGAGCCAGCACAGCTCCACCATTATAAACCGCAGGTTTTGAAATCTCTCTTCTTCAGGAACTGTGAAATGCACCCTAAGCAGTACTGCTGTGTTTTGTTAACCTTGTTTTGGCTCATATTTTGACAAGCCACCCAGGGCAATCCAGCCCATGGCATTTGTGGTGAAGAGGAAATAAAGGCAAGAGTCACTTTACCGAAGACAGTCAGTTCTGCGGGGTCGCTGTCCCTCTCCCCCACCATGTTGGTCCCCACACAGGTGTACATGCCCGCGTCGCTCTTCCTGGTGTTGGAGATCATCAGCTTCCCGCCACGGATCTGTCTCAAAACAAGGAACGTATTTTTAACTTCAGATGAACCAAGTGTATCAAGGAAAAAAAAAAAAAAGCAAAAAAAAAAAAAGCTGCCTTCTCGGGCAACAAGTTCCACAGTCAAGGCGTTTTAAAGTTTTGCTTGTGAATATATGTATAGCTTTAAAATCATAAACTTATATATTTAAAAATATTTAAGCTGTTCTAGAGAATATTTTTATCATACTGACTAATTTCAGCTTGCAACTAGTTTCAACCACTGAATGATTCCAACTGCACTTAATTTTTTTCCTTCGGTGTTCATTAGATTCTTTACATTTCAAAGTTTACATTTCTTGCTGCCTCTTGGCAGCACAAAGAGCTTGTATTTCTTGCATGATGATACTTAAAGCACTCTTGACATCTCTCAGAAGAAAAAGGCAGTTGGATTTAGTTTTATTTAGTTCATTTTACTGGTTTCTTAACAGTTTCCTTGATCACCAATTAAGATAGAGTTTCTCTCTTTGCTGCAGCAAACAGACTGAATCTGGCCCAAACTGAGAATTCACCCGAGTCTTGTAAGACTTAACATTTTTTTTGGCTACTAAGGGTGCTTGTAGAGGGAAAGAGCAGGATAGCTGAAAAAAATAAAGTAAAAATTTGCAGCTTGTGAAGTCACAGACAGTGTCACAGGCTAGACAATGGGGTGCTTTAGAATAATCTAGGAATAGAGCCAAAGAAACTTGAGAGTCGGGGAATGGTAGCCAGCTCCCTGCAACTCTTCCTTCTCTACTCTTGCGTGGACCCTAGCAGAGAGAGCCTGGTCCACAAATAGCAATGATTTAGGTTGTTTGGCTTGAAATCCTTCCTTAGGCATGCCACAAACAATCTTCCTGATAGTACGTCCATGTTGAATAAGGTCAGCACTGAATCATCACATACGACATAAAACTTTATTGAAGGAATATTAATGGTGAAAAGCTAAGCATTTAAAAATTAGGAATGAGATGTCCTCACACCCTTAATTTATCCCAGTTGCTCGCACAGACCATGATTTATCTCTACTCCCTTGATAAGTTAGGTATTTCTGCTGGATCCTTTTTCACTCAGTACGAGAAATGAACAGTCACAAAATTCAGCCAGTGTTACTCAATCAGTCAATATAGATTCATATTCAGGAGTCATAATTCTTTAGAGTGTGATTTCAGCCTTCATTTAGAATGCACGTCCAAATTACTACACTAAATACAACTTTACCAATATCATGCTAAGCTGTTGGGTTTTTTTCCACAGAGTATTTTCCTACCTCAGAGATACGACTGAATTTACCTATAAAACACCTCTCTGATATAAAGTCAGATTTTGACAGTTCAGTGAACTGAGATGTAGAAAAGATAAGGCCAAATGGCTCAAAGACATCCACTGAGTCCCCCATCTAACCGAGCACCTTACATGACCAAATCTACAGTTGAATAGATCTCCATTGCATCGGACATACAAACCAACCCTCAGAGAAGTTCAGGGTGGAGAGCCAAACCAGAAGCGATAAACAACCTTCTGCCCTCATTTGGGAAAGCTCGGAGAGGCAACCTGACAAAAGTCTCTGTGAGAAAGGCTATAAAACCATGAAGTTCTGCTGCTCTCGGCTGTGTGTCCTGTGTCTGTAGACAACCAACCAGCCAGTTGTACTCACACTGATTCGCTCCTCCCTGTCATCAATGCGGACTTTATCCTTCTTCCAGTAGATGGTGGGCTCAGGGTGTCCTCGAGGCGGCTGGCACTCCAGGATGGCAGGCTCTCCAGCTGCCACCACGACATCTGTAGGGTTCTGGCGGAAGTCATCCCGTAGCACTAATACAATAAATGAGGGAAAGAAGGAAAAAAAATATTAGAAGTGATGACATTGTAAGTGGGGGAAAAAAAACCCAACCATGTAGAAACATATAATATTAAACAAACAAGTCTCAACCATTAATAGGTGATGAGTTTGCATCTTACATTGACTATAAAAGATCTCATAAAAGAAGCTGGTGGATGGATCCTTTTGTCCAGTGGAGGCAGATTTCACACACATGGCTTTTTTTCCCCTTGCTTTTTTCTCCAGATAAGAACACTGCTCTGCATTTAAATTGGAAAGACCTGTAGCACCCATTACTCTTTTTAACCTTGACAGGGTCATTTTCCATAGTTAAAAAAGTAGCATTGCAGGTAGGATGTTCAGTTCTTTTCACAACAGAAAACAACGTGCTGAATATCTGCCTTGCCTGGATCTCCAGCTTCAGCATAAGCTAGGTAAAAAAGGGACAGAACTGACACTGAATTGCAGAGTTATACCTTGATTAAGGCTGTTGTTGTTATCCCTGTTATTACTGTTATCACCAAATACATGCCAAAGTGATCACCAGTTCTGAAAGGTGTCAGAGAAATCAAGCTGTTACTAATGAGCTTCCAGCACATTTATTTCTTCCTTCTATATATTTAGTTCTAATATTTCTGCAACTTCAAACCAGTGCTGTCCCATGACATAGAAAACAAAGGGCATTTAAATCACTGAGCTGTTTGAGAACTAAATTAGGCATCACAGGCCAACTTGTTATGTAAATCAAGCTTCTATAAGGAATTAGGTCCAACTAGTTGGCTTCAGTGTGTTAAAATGATATCCACTTCATCGTTATTCTTCCATGTGTGTCCTAGTCTCTAGGTTAATTGACATTCTTATAAACATAAAACTGAAAATAGCTCTAGATGAGCTACTGAAATAGAATTTAGGGCATTGCCCCTCCTTGAATTTCAGCTACGTATGGCTTTCATTAGAGCTTTAAAACAGTTCTCGCCCTTAATGGAACCAGGGCCCTCTGAGAAATTAGAAAACACTGTATCCTAGTGAAGGGGCAAGTCAGGAAGAGTTCAGCAGAAATTGCTCAGTCTCATTTCATAAGCAGAGATAATTTACTGCTTTCAATGTTAATAAAATGTGCCCCATTTTAACATTGGGAACGGAATATTTTTCTGTTCTGTAATAAGCCAGAGGAAAAATATGATTAATACATACAAGAATTGGTTTCTGAACAGGCTGAGGGGAGTGGGCTGTATATATGTGGCACTCAGAACGACATACAAGGTAACTTTTATAGTTCCTCATTTTGGGATACACAGGTAGATCCCAGAGGAAGGAGGGGATTAATTGGAAGTTAATTCCTTTTCTAACAGACACACAAAAAAAGAGTGACTATCTAGGTTTCACTCTCGAAGTATAAAACAGAAGTGATAGGATGGAGCTGGCAACAAATGCAGCTCTGGCAAGGACCTGAAGGCTTCTTAGGTGACATACCCAATGGATACATATTTTTTCCAACAGAAAACAAAAAAACTCAATCCCGAAATATTTCTGATTAATACGAATCACTTGTATGCTTCTGATTTGCAATAATCAAATTGACAGAAATGGAATTTATAGAACTTCAAGATCAAATGGAAGAAATAACTTATGCAATGCACTACACAGAAACGTTATGATGAGGATCATGGCCTGCTGACTATTTGGCAGTACAACATTTTGCAAAGCCAAGAAAGCCAATACCATGGCAATTTCAGGGAAAGAACCCGAGAAAAAGTCTTACAAAATCATTTTTTTTTTTAGGAAGCGTCTTCCTGTATCTCCATGATCCCTATGATATACAAGAAGAAAAAATACTTCTAGACAATGCTATACACACTTTCACAACCGGCAAATGGAAAAAAATCAGCTCCCTCCATTACACACAAAATAATTGTTTTTATTGGCTTGATTCTATTCGCAATTACAGAACTTCAGTGCAAATCTGCTAGTGGAAAATCCCCAGAAAATCAGCAGATCCCACCACATAATGGCTTTATATTCCTGACTCCTAACTCCTGGCAGCAACATTAAGGACAGCATTTTCCTTGAACATTTCACTCTGCTATATGAACCTGACAAATACAGTTTCCTAGAGTGATACACAGCAAATTACATTAACTTTCTCTGAATCATCCCAGCAACTGTGTAAGGTTCCAATCAGCCTCAGAATATGAGGCTAAGAGGTGATTTGATTTTATCACATTCCTTTATCCAAAGTCTTACTGCAAAACTGGCTTGAATGGAAGACAAAATTGATGCTACAGGCCTTGCTTAATCTTGCTCTGCACCTCAGCACATATGTGAGTGTTGAATAGATGTATCTCATCATTTCCATCTAAAGCATTCTGTGTTTTGGAGAAAAACAAAAAACAGTTGGAGGAAAAAGAAATAGGGGAAAAAAAATAAAGCTGTAACAGAAAGATAAAGATAAGAGAAAAATGTGTGGAATATAAATTAAAGAAAGAAAGCAACTCAAAGAGGAAGAGAGGGAACACTAAATTTAGGGAGCGTGAGAAGAAAAAGCCAGGTAAAGAAAGGAAAAAAAAATAAAAGCAGAGAGAAAAACAGGGTAAAGAGCAGAAGGCACAGGCTGCCATTCCTGTGACTCAGTGCTTTTAAAGCAATCTAACAATGGAAAAGCACAGACATTAATCTGATCAGCCCAGCCAATCCAGAACATCCAAACATCACCCCGAGAGAGGGGGAGCAGGGAAGAGGGGGCCAGAGTGCGAGCTGGTGAGCTTGGCTGTCCCCCTCCAGTGGCACAGGAAGCCACAGAAGAAAGGAGCGTGGACTGGAAGTTGAGTTCACACATATTAGAAGAGTAAATGGAAAAGTTGCAGCACAGCTTAGTGCATTCACCATATCTAATGGTACAATCATCTGTGAAAACAGAAAAATGACTGAGAGCTGCAGAATATTCCTCAGCCAATTATCCACAATTGCTGGGTACTTCCAGATAACTGTTAGTGTGCCTGAGCAGATCACCGTTTCCACACACCGGCAAGAGGCTTTTGTTCACTTGAGGAGCCAGCCCTCTTCAGGGCCCTTTTGGCAGGGCACAAATACTAATGTTTTAAAAATTCAATACAGGTGGGAAAAATGTTCCACCAGCCTTCTCTTCCTCATCCTGTGTTCTTATTTTGCTTTATTCCAATTTTAACGTAAGTTACGCAGCTCCCTTTGTGCTTGCGTGGGTGTTTCCCTACATTTTGGGTTTTTCCCTGCATTTTGGGTGTTTCCCTGCATTCTTTACTGTGAGGGTGTTGAGGCACTGGAACAGTTCTCCAGAGAGGTTGTGGATGCCCAATCCCTGGAGGTGTTCAAGACCAGGTTGGATGAAGGTCTGAGTAACCACTGGAAGGTGCCCCTGTTCACAGCAGGGGCATTGGGAAAAGATGAACCTTCAGGTCACTTCCAACCCAAACCTTTCTGTTATTCTATGATTTACCAAGGGGTGACAAAGAAAAAGATGTCTGGCACCTCTCCCTACCAACTCTGGCACCACAGTGCAGCTGGTTCTGTTCCCTTTGAAGGGCAGCTCAAACGTTTAAAAAGGCAAAGCCTTGGAAGGGCAAAAGCTTCTGGATGGCTAAGCCTTGCTGCCTGGAAAGGCACCAAGGGACTGGAGCGCTGGAAAAGACAGCTAACGCGTCCACACAGCCCACAGTGGTGCTGTGGACAAGAGTTTAATTAAAGTTTGATCGGTCTCTTTGTAGCTTGAAAAGCTGATGCTGCTCAAACAAGATAGATGTCTGTGAGCAGTCACGTTGGTCTTTAAGGCATGCAAAGCCCTGCACGGCCATTTCCAGGTAGCCGGGAGCGTAACCAGGGAAAGGGAGAACATCCAGCAGCGGCAGCGCCGAGATAAACACGCACAGGGCACGCACCTGCTGGGGCCAGGGAGGGAGGGGGAAAGGAGTGAAAAGGAGCCCCTGCTACCAAGGCAACTGCTCACCAGCACCTGCCAGCTTAGGCCCAAATCCAGGCCTCGGTCAAACTGATGCTCATAAACTCAGGGAATTACACGGAAACCGAATTAATTTCCTCGGCCGAGGCTCCAGCAATTTGTTTAAAGGAAGTGGAGATAAAGCCACGATGTTTACGGGGTAGGAGGGAAGGTGGCCGAGTCAAAATTATTCTAGGCTAGATATCCATGCCTTAATCCTGCTTTCCAGCTTCCAGGTCCTTAGAAAGAAAACATTTTTATAGGATTTACATTTACATGATGATTACAAATAACCATCTGTCTGCTTCCACTTTTTCAATCTGGTCCATGTCCCACGAGCCCCCAGCCTGTGGTCAGAGCAGCTAAGCTGGAAGGAAGAAGTGGATGCCCGTCAGGAGGCTTTGGGATAATTGCATTCTTCTCCCACCAGCGCTCGTCTCTCCACCTCCTCCCCCTCGGCGTGCACGGTGAACATCTGAGATTACCGGGAACAGGAGGGAGGGAAAGAGTATGTTTTTTGCCTTTTTCAATGAATGATAATGTCTTAAAACACAGCTACATCTGTTGTGCTGACTAGAGGGTATAAAGAGATATTGAGTAAATGTTAATAGGCTGCTGTAACTTGGGTCCTGGTAGTTTGTATTCCCCTTTCTATTTTATTTTATGCTTATCTCAAGATAATATTATTCTTACACAAAGACTTTGTGCAGACACATCAGTGACAGTTTGGTCACAGGTAGGTCTCCCCTGATCCAAGTCACTCCCCCACAGGCATTTTCCTAAATCCTCATCTCTCCACCACTGCTTTGGCACTTCCCACCTCTGATACATACTGATAGGAACAACTGACATGAATTATTATGTCAAATAAGTGCCCAGATGTCATGCAGTGGACAGATTAAAGGATTATTATACTTTAGGTAGCATATGGTGCTAAGGGGTATTTTGGAACTTGACTAATGTGTATGATCTACTGAAATGGTCCCTGAGCAAGCCAGCACTACCTGCTGAAATGGGGTGACA